ACACTGTCAAATTACACAATAATTCTTAAATTATCCCAGAAGAAGATTAGAGTAACCTTCAAATAATGTATATTACAGTTGTGAAAATAAAACTCTACATTACATTGCAGAATAGCAAATCTGTTAATAGACTCAGTAGTGAACTATAGAATAGAACTATAAATTCGGCCAATCAGTTTCAGACGACTACAATTACTTAGGATTGCCGTTCTGTTCTAATCACACAAATATTGTTAAAAGACCTGTCAAATGTGGTTGAAAAGAAGAGTATCTTACTTATTGTTAGTTTTATAAGTTCAAACTGTTATAAATAACTACAAACACTGCGGCTAAGAACTGAGTAGAAACGTCTAGTTAACCTATTTTACCACACAATATAAACAACTGAATATATATATAATCAAATCTCCCAACTTTTTGCTTTTATTCCGAAACCAAAAAATAATAGTAATTATAAACAACTAATAACACATCTTAAAATATTTGATAAATTGTATATATATATATATATCAATGTTATCAATGTTCACTTTTTGTGATTTATTATTTACTAAATTATTATAAAAACAAATTATTATAAAAACATGTCTTTTATGTAATTTCAGACCAATTCCTGTCCATTATGTCGGTATGAATTGGAAACCGATGATCCAGTCTATGAAGAGCTACGTTTATACCGTCAAGATGAACCTAATCGCCGTCAAAGACAGGACAACTTAATGGATTCTATGTATTCATAATTTCAATTCTTATTATAAGCCAAAATTCAAAATATGTACAATATATATAAGTAAAACAACGGTTTTCTGGTTTATTTTAATTTTATTAATAGTCAAATATTATTTAAGAATACTGGGTGCGATGATGAAATAATTTTATCTGTTAAAATATGCAAATCACAATACTTTAAATTGTCTATTTAACATTAAGAACTGTATTTAGAAATAAACAAATAATACTAAAAAAAATTAAATTTTGAAGGAATTTTAATTAATTTTATATATTAAGAAAAATTCAAGTTAAGTATTATTTTATATCACTAAATAAGATATTTTATGCCTAAAAATATGCAATAAAAAGCTCGCAAATGCAATGCTTGTTTAATGAATAAATAAAAACGAAACGAACGAGTATAAATAATTTTTTGTTAATTAACTTAAGTGAAAAATGAATGAATACAATAGTGTTTTTAGTGTTTAAAATGACTGAATTAAATAAATTTTGGAACGAGAATGTTCAGTATACAAACTTTGTTAGAAATTCGATTAAATATTTTTTTAAATGTCTCAACTGTTGCAATGTTTTTCCTCTTTAACTACTTTCTGATAAGTAAAGCAAGTAATATAATCCAAAAACATATAATACATTACAGTAATACGGTATATGTGGTGTGTTTTTTTAGTTTTATATTTGATTAACGGTTGCTGGCACGAACGACTTTCGTTGTAAAATCTGATTCAGTATAAAATAAAAATAATACGATTTTTTTTTTATATGCAAGTTTACTTTGTTCCGCACTGTTTTTCTTTGTTTTTTTGTTATTTTTTCTTGTCATCATCATAATCAATACCAATTTGTTGGAGTGAAACGCGCGAATCTAGGTATAATTTCCGTCTGACTGTTTATTATTTTCTTTACTTAATACTTTAATTAAAACATACAATATGGTGGAAAAATATAATACGCGTTTTTCAACTTCACCATTATGTTGAGTTACACCTACGTTATGTGACGAACACCTTCATTTATTAGAAAATTTCTTTAAGAATTCTTTTCACTTATAGTACATACGAATTTTTTGCTTCATGTTTATGTGAACTAATTATTTCCACGTTTAATGTAGTTTCTTCGATATTATTGTTAATACTTAGTATTTCTTCTAATAAAAACATACTCTCCTAATTAAACTTCTTTCCGCTTCATATTCATTTTTTATGTATTCTTATTGCTCTTGCAATATTAAGTGCAAGTCTGTACATATACCCTACGCACACATTGAAGTATGAATATATAAAAATAATATATAAATAAAATTAATAGTGCTAGAGTATTATAAATAATAATCGCAATGAATCTCAATGAAAATATCAAAATTTTATATATTCTGTTGTAGCCCCAGGAATTGTGAAACGTAATGTAACCCTACATAAATACATTTTGACAGTTTGCTTTTCATTTCGTTTCATGTAAACTATTTTGACAGAATTTTCAGAATAAGCATCGGCTGTCGTTCGAGGCGCTGTAATTTACGTATTTGATTTATATGTTTCGCCGGGTTTTTTATTTTTTCGTCAGATTTATTGATTTATTCTTTGTTTATACATAATTGATCAATTTAATTAATAGATTAAAGTGAATTGTTAAAAATTTCGTAAAATGACCGAATTAAATAAATTTTGGAGTGACAATGTTCAGTATACAAACTTTGTTAGAAACTCCATTAAAAATTTTTTTAAATGCCCTATATGTCTCAATGTTTTTTCTATTAAACCATTTCATGGTAAGTAAAGCAATTAATATAACCCAAAAACATAATACAGTACAGTAATACAAAACACGTGTAGTGTAGATTAAGAGTTGTTGGAACGAACGTCTACACATTTATATTCTTCCTAACTACATTCGTTTGTTTTTTGTTATTGCTTTTTGTCATCGTCATAATAAAAATCTTCATAATTTATTAGTAAATTTCGTTCAGAACTCTGTTCACTTACATATAAATTTTTGGTTTCAAGTTTATATGGACTAATTGGTTCCACATTTAATGTAGTTTCTTCGATATTATTGTCAATACTTGGTATTCCTTCTAATAAAAACATTCTTTGCTAATTAAACTTCATTCCGCTTTATATTCATTATTCATTAAAATTCATTATTTATATTCATTTATTATGTATTCTTTATGCTCTTGCAAAAATAGGTATGTGCATTTACCCTACGCACATATTTAAGTATGAATATATAAATATAATATATAAATAAAACTAATAGTGCTAGAGTATTATAAATAATAATCACAACATATCTCAAGGAAAATATCTAAATTAAATATTTTTTAGTGTAGCCCCAGGAATCGTGAATCGTAATGTAACCCTGCATAAATACATTTTGACAGTTTCTTTTTCATTTCGTCTCATTTGTATGATTTTGACAGAATTTGCAATAATCATTGGCTGTCGTTCGAGGCGCTGTTATTTGCGTGTTTGATTTGTGTGGTTCGCCGGATTTTATTAATTTTTTCGCCAGATTTATTTGTTGTTTATATTTAATTGATCAATTTAATGAATAAAGTGAATGAATAGTGTTTTGATAACAGTTTTGTAAAATGACAGAATTATGCACATTTCAGAGCAACGATGCTCAATATACAAATTTTATTAGAAATTCTATTAAAAACTTTTATAAATGCCCGAAGTGCAGATCCCAGTTTTCTGTTAAACGAAATAATGGTAAGTAAAGCAACCTAAATATACTATAAAAACTTATAGTACAGTATCATATTCAGTAACACAAGATACCGTTTTACGGGAGAATGCGTGTAGTGTTTGTTTTATAGTTTTGCATGTGTTTAACGGTTTTGGAACCGGCGTTTTTTGTTGTGAAATCAGCTTCAATACAAATTATAAAATACATTTTGAATAGCTTTAATTTATAAATGGCTTGATATTAGAAAAAATGGTTGCCTATGCATTAATGCATTTTTTGTTTTTAGGGTAGCATGCAAAATAAAACCCTACTATTTTTTTATGAATAACTTTTGGGCAAACTTTTATTATTATCGTATTTGTTATTAACAATATGTATACATATATAGTGTGTGTTATATATAGGTAAATAGTATATATTATTTATTTTAATGATCATACAAAACTATATCAAAAGAATATCTCGTAGCAAATATGTATGTATGTGTGTTGATACAATTTTGTCAAAACAATTTACCATACTTTAACACATACATATTTGCTACGGGATATTGTTTTGAATCAGTTTTGTATGATCATTAAAATTAATGTTCATTAACTTGTATATATATAATACACACTTTATATCTATATAAATATATAGAATTTATTATTTATAATTTATATTATATATAAATTATTATATTAAATTATATTTAAATTATATTAAATTTATAGTTATATTATAATTTATTATTGTTTTGACAAAATTGTATCAAAACACATACATACATATTTGCTACGGGATATTCTTTTGATATAGTTTTGTATGATCATTAAAATTAATGTTCATTAACTTACATACATGCACATATAACATGTACTTATACATACATGTTATGTATGTGCGTAATATATAAAGTATATATGCATGTTCGTAATATATAAAGTATATATGTATGTGCGTAATATATAAAGTATATATGCATGTTCGTAATATATAAAGTATATATGCATGTTCGTAATATATAAAGTATATATGCATGCTCGTAATATATAAAGTATATATGAATATAATATATATAATAGATATATATATATAATACAATATACATAAAATATATATAAAATATTCAATATATTATATATAATATATATAGATATATATATTATATATATATATATATAGATATATATATATAATATATATGTATACATATATATGTCATACAGAAGCATATACATAAGTTGTACATATACATTATATGCGTATATATACAATAGCATATATGTATGCATATGGTACATATATACATATTATGCGTGTACATAGAATAGCATGTATATGTTATATATTTACATTATATGTGTATATATACAATAGCATATATACATACAACACAATACTATATACAGTCAACATCAAAATAAAGTGTGCAGTAATAAATTTAATAAATAAAAAGCTAAAAAAGCCACAAAAAATATAGTTTCTACAGTAAAGCACCTTGGGGGCTCAGTGATGGTGTGGGAGTGTATGGTGGCCAGTAGAATATTATTGATAATAGAATGAACAAAATGGATTACCTAAATTTTTGAAAAGGAAATTTAGAATCTAGTGTCGAAGAATTGAAACTAGATCGCTGCTGGATTTTCCAGCAAGATAACGACCCCAAACATACCGCTTGAATTGTTAAGGAATGGCTGCTGTACCATACACCAAAACAACTGAACCATCCCCTACAATCATCATACCTCAATCCTATTGAACATTTATGGGCACATCTGTACAGGAAAATTCGTGAAAGAGGCGTCACTAGCATAGACTCTCTGAAATCGGTATTGTTAGATGAATGACAGAAAATTTCACCGGAAATGACAACAAAATAAGCTGAATCAATGCCGAGGAGGCTAGAAGTAGTTCTTTATGCAAACGGAAAGCAAACAAAATATTAAAGTTTGGGTTTTTTAGCTTTTTATTTATTGAATTTATTACTGTACACTTTATTTTGACGCGATAAATCTGGAGTAATTACAGTTATTGTTGTGAAATAAATTACATTTTTTTTTTAATTTAAAAAGAATTGAATAACATTTCATAAAAAATTAAAATATTTATCGAACACACTATTTAACTATTGGAATAAAGCAAACAAATGTTGGAAATGTACTGTACACTTTATTTTGACGCTGACTGTATATATAGTATAGTATAGTATAGTATGGAAAAAACTAAAATGTGATATAAAATGCAATACGCGTATTAACATATTTTATATTTCTTGTAATTAATATATTTAAAACAAAACCCTTTCTATTCGTCCTGTCAGCTATTCGGTCATCTTCAAAAAGCTCTTAACATTTTATATGTTCGATTTAAATGGTCGAAAACGAGCATAT